ACTAAATTACTCCAATAAATGTGATTAATAAAACATAAGAAACATTTGTAGGTATAATAAACAATCACCTAATATCTTCGCGAGCACTCTGTCGCCAGATCAGTGGTCTGCAAATCAAGACTACGCAGAGGCGTTTGACAGATGCACGAAAAGAAAAAAAGAAACAAAACAAAACAAAACAAAACTTCAGAAATCATTCATGATCATGAATTTGTTTCTACTAATCCATTGAAAACAATGAATAATCACCCATGTTTCCATGGCACTTCCACCATATGATATGGTCCAAACCTCTGTCTCCTGAGTCTTACATGCTTCACATTTTCGCAACACGTCAAAGATGTCGCCTTGTGGCTGGAAATGTTTGTGTGTGCCCACTACCTGGGTACCCAATTTTTAGCAGAAAGTTTTGTGAGCTTGACCAGCGGCTCAGAGCTTCAGACGCAAATCAGTAGCCTGGAAAGCAACTGGGACATGTGCTGGTGATGGTTGCTTCGATTCTTTTGTGAGGAAGAGGATTCTTTTGCCGATGCGTCGTTTGTGCCACATCCAATTCTACCTGCAGTTGAACCCGACGAGCAGCGGTGGATGAACTGCCATGATACATTAGATATTTGGTCTTTTATTTTCGGGGCTCTTGCGGTCCATGTGTACCAACATTCTTTGTGGTTTTTGTCAGGTCATGCCTTAGGAAAGTTTTGCTTCCCTTGCTTTAGCTCATCGTTTTCAGCCTGAACTTGTCGCTTGCTGGATCGGAGATGGATCTCTTGCTTTGGGAGATAATGCGACTGCATTGATAGGACTTGTCTTCGCGGTGTTTGACAATGTTGAGTTAATCCTCCGAGATTCACCTGCCGGTAGGAATCGGTTCTATCATTGCATGCCATTGCTTATACCTTGAGTCCAGCTTATTAAGGGCGTACACATTGATGATTCATACATTGCCTCCTAGAAAATCACCTAAAATTATGTACTGAACTGTAATAATTTGGACAGTACTTATTTTCATGACGATATGTGATAACTAAGGATTGGGAATTATGGAATAAACTCTCCAACTACCTGTCACTGATGGGCCGTGCTTGTAGCCTTGTGCAGTGTGCGCTTACCTAAAAAATTACTCCCCGCTACAAGTTATGAACATTGCGTCGACTGGTCAAAAGCAGAGGGTTTTGTTCTTGTATTGCAACCATCTCGATTGATGAACTTGCGCCGAGAATGTTGTGCGTAGAAGATTGCAATTGAATCAGATTCACCTCGCCCTTGAACTCTGTCGAAATAAATGTTCAAATTTACATGTCAAATGCTGTGGATGAAGGTGGAATGGAAATAGAATCTCCCCTACTTGATAGGATCAAGCTATTTGGCCAGCCAACCTGCTCCAGCTGCTGTGGGTTGTCCTGTTCGCATGTGCATTCGGACTGCCAAAAGCGCATTCATGAATTCTTGTTGTCAAATGAAACTGTCTACCAAAAGTACCGTGCATCCGAATATTGTATGATGCAACGCTGGAATATGGTGAATCTAGACTTGGTGAATTCTGGTCCACACCAATCATTATGGTTGGCAGGCGTAGCATGGGGATGAAGCTTCCCCCACTGGACTGTAACTCCCAACTTCGCTTCTTTGAGACAGTTACCGCTGCAAAATTAGCGAGGGGACAAGGGAAGGCATTGAACGTGAGCTTCTAGGGAAGTCGAAATACTGAAGACAATCCTATATTTTGTGTCGACCCTCGACTGGATAAAGTTTGGACAGACAAGTTAGAAATATAAAGCCCGTGATGGAGAATACTCAGAAGTCGTAGCAGGTTATAAAATAACATGACATTATGTGTATCAAGCACGAACCACGCCAATTCGTGGAATAAAACACCACCACCCATCCGCACAGAACGTTGCAAAGAGTGACGGTCTGGGTGTGATGACCTGATGGGGATTCTAAAACAGCGTCGGGGTGTGATGACCAGATAATATCCTAGTTTTCTTGGTAAGCGTGCCGCTTGAAGATTGAGCTCATTCCTGTCCTGCCTGTTCTCACTTGAGGCTCGCAATGACCACATGTTGCTGTCGGTGTTCAAGCTCTGGCTCCGAGCCCTCCAAGTCCGAATGAGTCTCTAGAGGTCCATCCTGGTGTCTTCTAGCCCCAATGGGTCAAGGAGTGGACTGTCTCGTGCGGAATGCTGCCCATTATGAGAGACGTATTAATCTCGTGCCGTGAGTGTGATCTGTGTTGCGCAGGAGCCAGATCTGTCAGTTGGTGCCGGAGCTGCAAAGCTGCCTGCCATGTCCACTGGGTGTAACGATTTGGGACGATCATCTGGCTACGGTACTCTGGAGGGTTAACTGTATTCCCAAATAAGGCTGTCAGCGACTCGCGATGTATCTCTACCTTAAGCATTGATAACAAAAAAAAAAAAAAAAATCGAATTTATTTTTAATTCATCAACAGTGGTGTTTTTTTTGTTTAACTCATACAGGTTCATCATACTTAACACATGAAGAAGAAAAGAGAAGAACAGAATCACGTAGAAGCAGTCAGCTTTCAATACATGCACCGTAATCTTTATAATATTTATTATCTTTAGAAGAAGTTATGAAATCAACCAAATCATTCTTTTATCACAAGTCTAAATATGCTAAACCATATCTTGATTCAAATAATTATTAAAAATACAAAGAAAACATGATTTTTTAAAATATTTATTTTGAGCGTTTTTAGGAATTTTTTTTATTTTCTTTTCTTTAATAGAAACTCATTAAAATAAGCCCAACAAAAATTCTTTGAAAACACTTTTCATACCACTTAGAAAAAAATTCATTCCATTTTTGTTTTTCCTTATGAAGCCTTTGGACTTATTTCTTATTGAAAAGCCAACTCAAGAAGCCATCTTGATTTCAACCAATCAAAACATCCAAAAGTTGTGGCATGTCACCTTGTCTCATAAGTATAAAGTGTCCTTTGTGTTTTTCTAGAAAATAAAAAGGTTGGTTTTGGAAGAAGCATATTAATGTTTATGAAACTAATTATAGTATTCAAACTCAGATTTTAAAATTTTTTATGCTTAATTTATTTTAATTATTGATAAAAAAATTAGTTGAAATTCAAAATAACCTCAATACAATTTAAACAGAATTTAAATATTTTTATAAGTTTGTTGAATTGCATCTCTTTAATCTATATATTATCTTATAGATAATATGTAGAATGAGTATATCATTTATTATTTTAACATGGTATGCTATGACATAATTTGATATGGTATAGTCTTCTGTTGAAATTATGTGCATTATTTTATCAGCATAGTTGTGGGGCATGTTTTACAAGTAACATTGCTTTAGTCATATTTTATTTTTTCAATTTATTAACTACTTGATTTACTTCATGTATTTTACCTTGGTTTATTTTTTAGCCTTCTGCTTGTGTCTGAAATTTTGATTGTGCATTTTATTTTTATTATTTTTCTTTCTATTATTCATTTATTTTTATTACTGAAACCTTTATGTATTCTTGTTTGTGAATCATGTCATATATATGTAAAAACAACAGTCAATTGTTGTCAAAATAAATTAAATGAAGAACCCCCCCCCCTCTTGTTTAATTACTCAGTTTATCTTCCAGTGTCAAATTTGACAAGGAACTCAATTCTACTATCTTTCCAAACAAAAACATAAAAGCAGAAAGAAAAAGAAAACGAATACGTATATATACATGTACATATGTACAAAGAGAGAAGCAAACTTTTGATATGACAAGGAGAATCAAAGTGATTGTCTCAACAAAAGACACATTTATCTTTAGTAGTGTTTGTCTTTTAAAGTGTTTGTCTTTTCCTTTTTTTTTTTTTTTTTTTTTTTTTCATATTTTGTCTAAGATTTAATGGATTTGATAATAGGGTCATGTCAGCAGTTAAGTTTCACACTCCAGCATAAATCTGTTGGATTCACACAACCTACTATTGGAGGTACCCTGCAAGAAAAGCTACAGATTTCAATTCACTGCTTTTTCTTATGCAGAGAGTATGGTGTGTCACATGAGCTTATCCCTCATACAAAAATACACAACATACTTTATTTAGATGGTGGACACATGCCTTGCTTGCCAGTGTATATCAAATACAGCTCTGCTTTCAGTCTGGCCTATCGTTTTGAGTTGGCACTTTGTGTGGATGACAGTTGAGATCCCACTCTTACAAAAGATAGCCCTGGTGATTCAAGTGTTCCTTCTCCTCCCCCACATGTTGCACGTTTTCCTCTGCATGTTGTGTTCATTCACTCAAGACTACACTTGGATGCCATGTTCCAAAATAATAAAGATCCTCTAAACATTCTGATTCCAAACACACAAGGTTCCAAACATAAAGGAGCATGATAGTTTAACTTTTCTGGATCAAAACGAAGTTCTCAAATAAGTTTTGTTGAGGTTAGTGGATAGTATTCTCAAATTGCTTTTGTTATTTTCTGCAGAGTTCTAAAGCCATTCTGTCAAACAGTTTTGGATGGGTAACTTATTGATTCACCTTTACCAGCAATCAAACAACTTTATTCTCATACCAAAAATAACACTGGAACCCACAAAAGATACCTGATGTAGCCTTGAAATCTTGATTAACATATCCTCCCAATGCTTATTTTTAGTCTAGACCTTGCAAAAGGTGGCAAACTTTAAAATATACATAAAAAAGAAAAATGCTCTGTGTGTGTCTGTATTCCTTATTATAAATTTAAGATCTATATATATATATATATATATATATATGTTTTTACGACTTAAATTGTAGAGAGGGTATCAACTCAGACAATCTATACGTCACGTGGTGAGTACGACATTGAATGTGAGAATTCTTTTACTTTTGACATTGAATGTAGTGCTGATCAAGCCATCTGGTGACTAGCGTGGATGTGGGCTCAGGGGTTTCTACCGCCCTCTGCCACACTGTTCCTAACGCTGCTGCAACTATCTGAATAAAGCTGGGATCCCTTGTCATTTGTACAGAAAAGTGGTGGTCGCTGCGCTTCAAGCCCTAATGCGACAAGCATCTGGAGCGGCTGGCACTGCGCCTGGATCCGCTCTGAGGGAAGATCGACTTGAATATTTAGGCCACAGTTCACCGTCCATGTGCATGACTTCGTAGCTGCGGATACCACATGGCAACACATTCACTTCCACAGGGTCCTGAATACTGCTCATGTAGAAAGAGCCAGTAGCAGATCGGCGAGGGTGGACTTGTGCAGCTTGTCGCATGAGTGTTCTTCTGACCCTAATTCTCTCCAACACATTCCCTCCCATTGGTGCACACAAAAGTGTGAGTTTCTACAGGATCGTTGTCCTTGAGTCGTGGCTCGAGGAATGGATCGCACGCTCGTTTACTCCCTTAATTTCTCGTTGCTCAGCAGGATTTGAAGGCCAGGTTGTCCGCGGGGTTTAGAAATACGGAAGGTCTGGTGTTAGTGTGGAATCCTCATGTGTTGCACAAAACAATGTGTCGAATTCCTTTACCGACAATATTGAAGTACACGAGCAGCTGCTTTGTAGCCTGTCCAAGCATTTGGAGGAGCAGGGGCTAAGGATTTGGCTTTCAGAGGAGGATCCGTGCAACCTTGTTAGGTAGTGTAGAAACTAACTTGTTTGGAGCGACCCCATAGTTATGCATTCAGAATCCGTCGAAATTGCTTACAAGTTTTGAAGGTCTTGGTAAGTAGTTTAGTTTAGTTTTTTTTTTTTAGTTTTTTTTTTTTTGGTAACAATCGTTGCAGAAGCTTGAGTCGTACAGGATTTCTAATCATCAGCTGGCATTCAATGGTCATTCCAAAGTGACTGTATGTGGATCTCACGAATAGCGGAGCTGTAGTCTGCTTTGATCAGCGTCGTCTCATGAAGACTGACGGTTGAGGTAGAGATTAAGGTTGATAGTATCTTGCTGAGTTCAGTGAGCCGCGTGTCCTGTACACGTGCTGTTACGAATTCCGGATTGATGTTCGAAGGTTTTACAATGGCCAACAGTTTGGCCATGGACGTTGAGTATATTGTTAACAAGTATAGCTCGTGGAGCCTTTGCGACGCAGAATTCATGGCGCCGAGCTTTCAAGATGAATTGAGCTTAGCTTTCAATTCGCTCTTTGTCATCATGCTTGCGCTCACCTCATTGTACAATCTCGTTGTGGACAGAAGTTCACATCTCCGGGGTAAAAAGATGATGACGTCCGTCAATTCGAGTACCTTTATTAGTAGTCTTAGGCTCATTGCAGCTTGTTTAACAGCTCTGACGTACTCCGCTGCTGCTGCTTGGGAGAGATACACTGTGGATGCAGCTGGAAGCCGCGCAACGAATCATAATTTAGAGGTTCGGAAGATTTATTTTCTTGCGCAGAGCTTGACATGGCTCGCTTTTGCTGCAATATGTGCGACGGAGATGCTAAGGGTTCGTATTGTTTCGACGAAAGTAGCGAGAAGCCTTGTGCAGCTGTGGTGGATTATTACCTTTATCCTCGCAGCAATTCAAATGATATCACTTGTGATTAGAAATCTCGAAAACTGCCCCAACCAGTACTCAACTCCATCCGAAGCTATTCTTTCATTCACAGCCGGAGCAGTAAACCTTGTTGCCTCGTCGGTCCTTGTCCTCACAACGAGGAACGACCAGACGGAAAATGACGAAGATGCTCAATGCATTGGCGAAAATGAAGAGCCTTTGTTAGTCAGTCATCATCACGATGAGATTCCCTCACATGAAGCTATCAGTGGTTATGCTGAATCAAGTTGGCTGAGCAGATTAACGTGGCAGTGGATGAACCCCCTCCTCCAGAAAGGTTACTATTCTCGTCTCGAGGTAGACGATGTGCCAAAACTTGTGGAACAGTACGATGCGCAGAAATTGTATCAAAGATTCTCAGAGAATTGGAGTAGAAGCGAGGGGAAACCCAATCGCGTTCGGACGTCGCTGTTTTTGTCTTTCAAGAAAGAATTCATGCTAACAGGGTTGCTAGCGGTGTGCCGCGCATGTGTGATGTACGTCGGGCCGGCGCTTATTACGAGCTTCGTAGATTTCAAGTCACAAACCGCAACTGGAGAGCACAACGCAGGATTATGGTGGGGATTTACACTGGTATTCGTTCTTGCATGCTCCAAGGGCACTGATGTACTTGCATCGCACCATTTTAACTTCCAATGCACGAGTCTCGGCATAGCAATTCGGTCCACTCTCGTAGCAGTGGTGTACAAGAAGGGAATCAGGCTCACAAATGCAGCACGGCTTACTCATGGCGTGGGGGAGATTGTGAATTACATGTCCGTGGATGTGCAGCTGCTGCAGGATGTGATTGTACAGGTTCACAACTTGTGGCTGCTTCCTATACAAATTACCATTGCCTTGACAATCTTGTATTCTGTTGTGGGATGGTCTATGCTCGCCGGTTTGATAACGATGGTCGCCATCGTATGTTTATCAACGTGGAGTGGGAAGCGGCAGCGTATGTTTCAGGGTTTGATCATGAAGGCGAAGGATGTACGCATGAAGGCAACGAGTGAGGCCTTGAATAATATGAAAGTGATCAAGCTGCAGGCATGGGAATCGCATTTCCGTAACCAGATTGAGAAGCTGCGGGGTCTCGAGTACCTATGGATTGTACGATTCATGTACCAAGTGGCGAGTACCACTGTCTTCGTCTGGTGCGCGCCCACCATCGTCTCGGTTGTTACTTTCGCTTGTTGCGTTCTGCTTGAGGGAGTGGAATTGACGCCTGGCCAAGTTTTTACGGCCGTGGCCACATTTCGCGTTGTCCAGGAACCTATCCGGAATTTCCCTCAAACGTTGATCTCCGTGAGCCAGGCCCTAGTGTCTCTTGGACGTCTGGAGAAATTCATGCGAAGTGAGGAGCTTGATACGAATGCAGTGGATAGGAAATCCATTGAAGGAGATGAGGATTTGGCAATCTCTGCTCGCTCCGCGTCCTTCTCCTGGACTGAACCAGATAGTAGCCATGAACAATCGACATCGATTCTAGCAGATATCAATTTGGAGGTGAAGAAGGGTGCCCTTGTTGCTGTTGTTGGCACTGTTGGATCCGGAAAGAGCTCTCTTCTGGCATGCTTGCTCGGAGAAATGCCAAAGCTCCATGGCAAGGTATTATCCTGTTAACACTTATCAAGTCCGAGTGACTGATGCTGCCAACAATGGTCATGTGGAGATCGGGTCGGTCACACCTCAGTAACATAATTTTCGTTATCGATTTTTTACATATCTTTGTCTTAATGTTGGCGCAGGTCTGCGTATCGGGAAGTGTTGCGTACGTGCCACAGAGCTCGTGGATTCAAAGCGGAACCATTGAAGAGAATATATTGTTTGGCCAACCAATGGACCGGAAGAGGTACAACGAGACGTTGCGCATTTGTGCCTTGGAGCGGGACATCGAGATTTTTGAGGATGGCGATAAGACTGAGATTGGCGAGCGGGGTATCAATTTGAGTGGAGGCCAGAAACAACGCGTGCAGCTTGCTCGCGCCGTGTATCAAGACTGTGACATCTACCTCTTGGATGACATCTTCAGCGCAGTCGATGCTCACACTGGGTCAGCAATATTCAAGGTATGACTTGAACTATTTGTTCAAAATACATTGTAGGGTCTCAATAACATCATGCAAATTACGGATTTAGATAGCTTTACCTTTGCTGAAACAATTGTGATAATGTTGACTACAAAGGAATGCGTTAAGAGAGCGCTGAAGAAGAAGACAATCATCCTTGTAACACATCAAATCGACTTTCTTCACGAAGCCGACAGCGTTCTGGTATGTTTTCCACTCATCGTTATGTGAAGGGGTTGCTATAATTCCACCCTTGATATTAGTGGTTGAGAATTAGATCACTGAGTTGGTATCTTTTGAAGGACTTCATGAGGAAAGAAAAGATTTACCACGTCTACAATTTCGATCTTGAATTTGATCAGGTGATGCGAGACGGCATGATAGTACAGAGTGGGAAATACAACGATCTACTTAAGCCGGGCACGGATCTAGCGACATTAGTAATCGCTCATAACGAGTCAATGCAGTTAGTGGAGACAGAAAAACCAGCGGACATTGATGAGCCTGTATCTTCCCGTGAGGTATGTTGCAGAACTGGCTAGATCCGTTCTATATTTTTCATTCACAAGTAGCTCACATGAACTCAGATTTTTCTTCTGAACCTTAAGTGACAAAGCATGCCTTGTACTGGTGCAGCCTGATGCGACTTTAGAACGACTCACTTCTATAAAGGGAACAACCGCACCCGCCCAACCTAATGGCAGAGACACATCTGCTAAGCAAGGTTCAGCCAAACTGATTGAGGAGGAGCAGAGAGAGATTGGTCATGTGAGCAAGTCCATTTATTGGTTATACTTGACCAAGGCATTTGGGCCATGGTTGATCATTACCTTGCTCATTGTGCAAACCGTGTGGCAAATCATGATGGTGTTGTCAGATTATTGGTTGGCATATGAGACTTCGGATGGACAGCAAGGTTCACTTAATCCAGGGAGGTTCATTCGTGTTTACTTCCTTCTAAGCTTAGGGACATGGCTGTGTGTACTGACACGCACCATTTTGATCATTCTGCTCGGTTTGAGGACGACTCAAGAGTTCTACCTTCAGATGCTCCGAAGCATCTTCCGTGCACCTATGGCTTTCTTTGACACGACGCCTTCGGGACGCATCCTCAGCCGGGTTCGTTAGAATTCGTCATGTCTGAATCTATTTAGTGATTTTGTAATTGAACTATTTCTGTTTCTTAGATTAGCGGAGCTCTCTAATTTTCCAAACATAAAGTCTTGCTCTGAAGTTTCATTAATGTGCGCAGGCGTCGGCAGACCAATCTACATTGGACGTATGGATGGCTTTCTTTTATGGTGCATGCTTAGCCATTTACTTCACTCTTTTCGGCTCGATCGTTGTGATGTGCCAAAGTGCGTGGCCCATAATACTTGTCATGATCCCTCTCGCGTACGTTTATGTCTTATATCAGGTAATTGACAGACTTGGCCGTAATCGATTCTTCTAGGACAGCTGTATGCAGGTTTTCGCAGAAAATAAGGTACCTACTAAGTACAATTGGTGGTCGTAATGCAGGCCTACTACATTGCAAGCTCTCGGGAGCTGACAAGAATGGACTCCATAACGAAGGCGCCTATAATTCATCACTTTTCGGAGAGCATTGCGGGCTTCATGGTCCTCCGATGCTTCAAGAAGGAGCATGAATTTTCGCAAGTCAACATGGATCGGGTTAATCAGAACATCTGTATGGTTTTTCATAACAATGGTGCCACCGAATGGTTAGGATTTCGCCTCGAGATGATGGGCACTGTTGTACTATGCGCTTTGGCCTTCTTGCTTGTTGTGTTGCCTGCTCGTCTAGCTCCACCACGTAAGCTCTCCCTTCAACACTAAACTTATTGATATTCTTGCGAGATTTAGCTGTACAAGTATTATTTTATGCTGTAAAATGGATTTCCTAGAATTTCGAGCCATGTCTGACGGGAGATTTCCGCTTGCAATGCATTCAGAACTGGTGGGACTGGCGTTGTCGTACGGATTAACTTTGAATCAACTATTTTACTGGACAGTATGGCTCGCCTGTAACCTTGAGAACAAAATGGTTTCAGTGGAACGTATCCGTCAGTTTACTAATATTCCAAGCGAAGCTCCATCAATTGTTCCAGAGCGTCGGCCAGCTGCAAATTGGCCATCAACAGGGGCCATCGAAATCAAGAATTTGCAGGTCAGGAGATAAAAAAAAAAAAGAATAAAACATGGCTGTAATCTAAGATTTTGATACCAGAACAATAGTTTGCTGCACCTGCTCTCACAACTTGGTTGCTTTCCATTTTTAAAAACTTAAACCATACAAAAGCATTCTAACCTTGCACAATATGCATCTTGCAACAGTTGCGGTATCGTCCAGGTACTCCACTTGTGCTGAAAGGCATCTCAGTTAGAATCTCAGGTGGTGATAAAGTGGGCGTCGTGGGCAGAACAGGCAGCGGTAAGAATATTCAACAATAGTCTATGTCCTGATTGATAATGTTGCCCGTGAGTGTAAGTTTTGGTTTCCTTTGGGAAGGTTGAGTTTGAAAATCGAACAGCTTTTCAGACTGAAGGCATGAACTTCAAATCTCTTGAAGCTTGAATGCTTCTCTAATTAGCTGGATACGTTCTTAACTTTGTTTTGTTTTTTTTTGTCTATGACAGGTAAGTCCACTCTTATTCAGGCACTCTTCCGTCTTGTGGAAGCCTCTGCAGGTCAAATCGTGGTTGATGGTATTGATATTGCTACTTTGGGGCTCCACGACTTGCGTTCTAAATTTGGTATCATACCTCAAGAGCCAACTCTTTTTGAAGGCACAATACGCGCGAACATTGACCCCCTTGGGGAACATAGCGACGTGGAGATTTGGGAGGTGAGACTCTAATCACTCATTTCTTCGGTTGTACTATAGATCTCTATCTTTCAAGGATTAGCAGAATTGCCGCATGGTTTGAATTGTTAATTTTCAATCGCAAGTTCTTGATGGTATGTGCAGTGCTTGAAAGCATGTCAATTGGAAGATATTGTACGAAGGAAACCTGAAAAGCTCGACTCACCGGTGGTGGACGACGGAGACAATTGGAGTGTGGGGCAGAAGCAATTGATTTGCCTTGGACGAGCACTTCTTAAGCAAGCTAAAATATTGGTTTTGGATGAAGCTACTGCGTCGGTGGATGCGCATACAGATTGGTTAATCCAAAAAACAGTTCAAGAGGCATTCGCAGATTCTACAGTTATCAGCATTGCACATCGGATTCCAACTGTCATGAATAGCGACAAAGTTCTCGTGTTAGACGCAGGTGAGCTTCCAACTGCCAAGCCTTGACTTGAGTCATGTTTGTCTAGATAGCTTACTTGACCCGATGCTGACCTTGTGAATTGTTATCTTCTGAACAGGAAGGGTAAAAGAATACGATAGCCCAGCAAGGCTGTTGGATAATGGCACATCATCGTTGTTCGCAGCCCTTGTGAATGAATATGCATCGCGTAGACACCAAGAGGGCCCAATGATATAGCAATACACAACATTTTTATTCTGCAGAGTAGATTGAACACCCCAGTTTCCTAGGACAAGCCGATAGAGTTACCTATCAACCTCATTAAATGTACTTTATCCTTAAATCCCTCTCGTTTGAGCTACATAACACCGCACTCTACTTCAAATATATGTATCCAACTCCCTATGCATATGCAAAATGTAACCTGAATATGCGTGCAACTTAGTTTCTGTAGCCTCTCAAATTCGCCTTTCCATTGACAGGGTGGAATAGAGTAACATTTCTTTAACTGTCTGACCCTTAAATCTAAGTATTCGTGATTATGCAATAATCCTCGGCAACATCTGCGTGAGATATTTCCTTATCCAATCCGACTTTCTCCATCAGCTGCTCGGTCATCGTCCTTTGACTTCCTGAAATTCCTACATACGCCCGAGCTGGGATACTTTCACCAGCTCATTAAGCGACATGTAATTCTTCTTACAGTCCACCGATATGTGTTACTCCGATAAGTGTTAAAATTGCATACCCATGAAGAATCTGCAAAAGATTTATTGGATATTGATGTTCAACATCTAGCTGTCTCAAAGTGCATTAATATAGCTCAATGTCCAAATGTGGAGCAAGCTACTTTCACCTTCATAATGTTCCTTTGTGTGATGATCTTGTAGTTGCTGTTGCAAAAAGATTTTATAGCATGATATTCAACAGGAAGGTGAAAAAGGTGCACAAATTCAAGAAGAGATTTCATATCAAGATATACTTACAGAGTGGATGCATTTGCTAGTACTTCCCTTGAGGCCTTTTAAGAGGATGCCTTAAAAAAGATGAAAGAATGAAGAGGATGCATTTGCTAGTACTTCCCTTGAGGCCTTTAAGAAGATGCCTTAAAGAGGATGAAAGAATGAAGAGGATGCATTTGCTAGTACTTCTCTTGAGGTCTTTAAGAAAATGAAAGAAATTAAATTTTGTGCATCTTAGTATGCTCTTTTTGACATATTAAATATAGATTAGAAATATCTCTTTTATAAGATTGAATCAAATTATACTTTTACTACAAAGAGGTTGTTTGGAAAGAAGAAAGAAAAAGAATACATTATTGTTTCACTTATTGCAAATATTGATGGTACCATCAAATTTCTTCTTTTAATTATCAATAAGTATATGAAGCCTCAAGTATTTTCATGTATGCATATTCTCAATCCATATAACCTTTGAAATTAAAGAGTTTGCATATGAAAAAGCTAGGATGACAATAAGTATCTTTGAAGAATTTATATTTGAATTTTGAGAGAATAATGGTTGTTGCTTTTAAAAAAAAAGATATTACTATTGATTAACAATTTTTCAAGTCATCAAGTACCTAATGTAGATATACAATTGAAGATTACTAGACTTAAATTCTTGCCTCCAAATACTGTAACTAGATTCTAATCTATGGATACAAGAATTATTTAATCATTTAAAGCTCAATATTGCAAGCTATTGATTCAACACCAAATAGATTCTCTTATAGATAATAAGAGGAAATATATTAATATATACCAATTTGTAATAATCCTTGAGAATACTTAGCCTATTGGAGTTAATCCATTAACAATTATGAATTATTGGAAACATATACATATTTTTTTGGTTCTTTTTGACAATATGGAAGCAGAAGAATCAATCATGAAAGAAAGAAAAGCTCAAGAAGTAATACGAAAGAAAGAATTGGAAGAAGTTACTACCTTATTGGAATAATTGGCATTAGTATTTGCAAAGAATGAAACTAGACCTACTATGAATGTACATAAATTCATCAATTATGAACTAGAATTCCATCTAAACAATCTCTACATATCTATTAAGGAAGAAATTATGAGTATGCTTGATGAAAGAAATGATTCATTTGACAACAAATCTATTAAAGAAGCAAATAATGTATAAATTGGTGATGTGGTAGTAGATAAAGTAAGATTCAAGAATGCTAAAAGTGTATTAGTGATCTTGAAACAATTTTTGGAACAAAAGCCTACTGATGTTACACCTCTCATCCAAAGTATTAGAATACTTCAAAAAGAAATAAGATCTTAGTATGCATAAGAATCTCATCAAATTACTTTAGATATATTTATTTACTATGCTTAAATATATGACAACATTCATATCTTATATATTTTTATTTTTATTAATATAAATATTATTATTTTTAATTTAAAAATTACATAAGTATTACAAATTATCTATACTATTCCAATTAGTATTAAAGTGTTAACATGACATAAAAGTTACAAGTTTTCTTGCTCATAAATATTAACATATATTGAAGGTGGACTATAATCATATTTGGGAGTGCCAAGCACCTTACCATCAAGGAAGCTCTTTCTTCCCAATAAAATTAATGGCCACATCCTTGTCAAAGAATACTTTACAACTTGCATTATCTTGTGCCATAATTTTTTTTAAGAATTGAATTCAAAGAACATTCATCTAATGATGGATACATATATTAATAGCTTTTAAGAATAGAAAGGAGACCCTCTAAATTGAACATATAAATTTGATGAAGTTGTTTATGGTAGTGGCTCGGTAAATAGAAGTGCTCAACTTTCTAATTACAATGATATTATTATAAAAGAAGTTTATTGATAATAAATTATGTTGAACTGATTTGACCTTTAGCTGCTTCAAATAGTTGTGTAAAGCAATTACATTACAACATCCTAAAAAATGCTTTGCTCGAATGTTTATATTAGGAGTCCAGTCTAGATATTCTTTATTATTGATGCCTTTTAAAGATTTTCAAGTATTGTCTTCTTTTTAGGATGGAATAGTTGGCAATAAGTAGCTAAAGAAATGATATTTTATTTATTTATTTATTTATTTATTTTAAACAAAAAAAACTTTATTACCATAAAAATAGATTACAATTAGTCTACTCACATATGACTTAGATAAGAATACTAATACAATTGAGACTACAATAACTACAAAGACTTAGTGTTATGCTATCGTGGCACTATTATTCTTATAACCATATTAATACAAAATGGCTTTAAGGTGTAATTTGGATAAAGGCCAATCATCAAGATAATATTGATTATAATTCCTAAGGTAGTTAAAAAATAAAGCCTACAATTGGTCCAAAAAGAGCCTATTAAGGTTTTTCATCTATGGTAGATGAAAAGAGACCATGGTAGTACTATCTATTTTTAAACCATTGAATCAACTTTGTACCTTATATAGAGTATAATATCTTATTATAATTTGCAACTGACCACTTCAACTACCTATAATTTATAATCTCGTATAGACTGAAGTAACTTGTTTAGTACCTATAAAATATTTTAAAATACAATATCATTTTTTATTTTATTTTATTTTATTTTTATATTGTTAACAATATAACTAATCAGATCAAAGACTATGTAACATTGGAGTATTTGTATTTGTGTAAGATGTAGTCTAAGAAAAAACCTTACTTTTACAAGAAATGATGCCATGTTTTGTTGATATCTTAACCATGCATGTGGAGATTTAAGATGTGTTTGCCCTACTACTAAATACATTGGACAAATGAATATTTCCAAAATTAATAGAATATTTATTTTTTTACTCTTCTTGAACTCACAAAAAAATAGAAGTTAATATCTTGATTAATGCATCTCCACTATATATTGACTGCAATAATATAGTACCATAGCAGCCACAAAAGGTCCTACTCCTTATTGGTTCAAATTTTTACTGATACAATCTTCTTTTGAAAAGAAATCTTCTATTGAAAAAAATAATCATTTAAAAGAATTGTAGTCTATTTATTCATGATAAGATTGGAAATAATATGCTTGGCTTTTAATAGTTCTTAATCTATTTAGTTAAATATAACATGAATGGTACCTTATTCTTTATAGATGTCTATTAAAACTTCTTTGGATCTCACTTAAGAATGTCAATTCATCCATAAAATAAAAAAAATATTTTTTTTCTTTTATCCTCATATAATTTTGACCATCTGTACTCAATGACAAGATCTTTATAATGTGTTTGATCCTAGCTATATGTCACGTTGTAGATTATGTGAGATAAATAGGACTCTAAATCTGAAAGTAATTAATAGGAAGGTAGGAATATATACTACCTCAATATAGACGGAATTGGTGCCACTAAGAACTTACCATATAAGAATTGGAAAGGCAACCATGTCATTACTATATCAACTAACCTGCACTCTTAAATCAAGTAGAAAGGATGTGTATGACAAAAGAAAGCTTCAATGGTTTCCAAGTCCACTAATGGTTGTATTCTATGCAATAATTTTATGGATCTATAAGGATTTAAAGCTAGAAGAGAATAAAATTTTCTAACTTAAGTGCTCAACTTTCTTTAAAATATGACTAAAAGTGGCTAAATTTAAATTTCAGTAATATATGTAAGTTAGACCTATCAAACTCACATGCCTTAAGAATCCATTTGGATATTAGAAAAGTTAATATATTTAAATAATCGATCATATCTATGCCACTATTATCTTTGGATTAACAATACTACAACTATAAGACTTTAGTATGAGCTCTTTATAGATTTCTAGATTATATATAACTTTAAATTTGGAATCTAGCTTTTGCTATACTTGCCTTTGTTCTTTTCGATATGGCTCCAAAAAAAAAAGTAGAAGAGAATAAAATCCTATTAACAATCACATAGTGGCCTATAATGATACCTTAGTTGTACTCTAGTATTGAAGCTTCTTATCAATACAAGCTTTGAGGAAGTCGTCAATTACTAAAGAAAACATATACAGATCAAAAAGAGTACGTAGCAACTTGTTAATATATCCAATGTCTATCCATATGATTCCTAGGATATTTATTTCAGTTGATTGAGGATCTTCAACTTTTCAATATCAATATGACTTTTTCTAATTGAGAACTAATCTCGAACTTAAGAAAAAATATAATGGATTTTCCTCACCTTTTAAAATGAAAGAGGTATCATCTATATATTATGCAAAAACTTATTGCATATTTTCTACTAGAAAAACTAACCCTTGGACTAAATAAAAATCTATTGTTGATTTCACCATATGGTTGAACACTTCTACAATAATAAAAAAGAGATATGGTACTAATGAATACCTTTAATGTATCCTTCTACCTAACTCAAATGAAAGAACTTAAGAGCCATTAATTTTAACACTTGCATTAAAATCATAGAATAATATTTTAATTATATCCACATATTCAATTTGAAATCTAAATTTTAATATTACTTAAAATAAAACAAACTAATTTTTTATATCATAAACTTTGAAAATGTCTAACTTAAGAAAGATAAATGGTTGCCTTTAAATGTACCTCTATTAAAATAGATTATAGACAAATTTATAATATCTTTACATATAACTTATATACCACTTTGACAACAGTGATAAGTGTCATGGACATACACATGTAAGCCAATAATTACATGTATAAATAGGTAGAAGTAAATAAAAGTAGGTAAAAATAAGTTAATTCTATAATATTTGGTATGGAAGCTTTCTAGAAGCTTTATAGATACTGCTTTGACTTTATAGGT